GAAGTAGGATGAAAAGAAGAATAATTCCAAGCCGGCAAAAAGTGTATGTGCAGAGTTCCTCTATTTCTGACAGTTCTCTCACAACTTCTTCACATGTACAGTGGTTGAAACATCTGTATCCTAAATGTAAACTAATAGATACAATGTTTCAACCGCTAAACATGTGTTCCTTCTGTCAGAGAACTGTCAGAAATAGCGGAGCTCACTGCAGGGACACTTTTGCCGGCTGATCGGGAAATGTTCGATTCGCGCACCCGAAGTAGGCAAAATTTCGGTTTCGACACGAATCGAATATTTCCTGAAATTCGACTCGAATTCCGGTTCGCCTAGTTCGATTCGCTCATCTCTAGTGAGAAGTATTGGTTATGTGTTAGAGAAGACACTGGTAGCTTGTGATGAGGCAGAACTTGGTTTACCTTGTGTGGCTTAAGTTGCAAACACACAAAGCATTTAGCAGACTGTAACAGCAGACATCTTGGTTTTGAAGAGAGAGAGAGAAGAGAGAGAACCAACAAGTTTTCAGATATGCACAACTGGTAACCTTAGTGTACAGTGCCATCAACTGGTCAAGTGATATTAACCACACTGTATATAGTACATGCAGTTGCATTCCCAACAAGAAGGCAGAGTAGAAGGAGTATATTAGTGGGAACCAGACTAAGGCTCTGTGAATACGAGCCTACCCTGACCACTGAGAAACTGCAAAACCACGGCCGAACGGTCAAAACGTTCCTCTCCTGAACGTGATTTTTCTGCGTTCAGGAGGGGGATATTTAGCCTCACCTAAACGCGGCAGCTGCTAAACTCTGCTAAAAGCCTATGTGTACATGGACACATAGGCTTTTATGGAGTTGAGTTTAGGAGCTTTTGGCAAAAAAAACGCTAAAAGCTCCTAAACTCAAGTTCAGCATGCTGCTCGTGTACATGAGCCCTTAATAGGAAATTAAATATCAAATGTTGGTATGTTTGCCGTCTTTACAGAGTGTGGGCAGATTTCTGGTTGTATCTTCATACAGCTTTAGTTATACTGCTGTGTTGAAACAGCTACTACACTTTTTGAAACACTCAGCGATTCCCCATAAGCTGAACTATATTTATAGGGAGATGGGGCTGGCAAACATTTGTCAATTGATGAAATTAGGATCTGATAACAGACACTTGAATAGGAGAGGAAATTGCCAAAAAAAAAACCCAAAACACCAGACCAGATACAGGCCAAAGTCATAAGAGGTCATTGATTCTTAGATCACTGAAGGCAAAAGGAGGTAAGAATCAAATCACCAATTATATAGACAAGCTTAACCCCTTTGCGCCAGCGCCTCCAAGGCCTTTAAAAGTTTCAGAAGCCGGGAGGTGGGGCGGGGGTTTTAGGGTCATGTGACCACCGTGATTCACTGTCACGGCGGTCACATGATCGGAAAAAGTCCCAATCGCAAGGGTAGATTGGGACCTTTCCATCAGTCACAGACATATGTGCTGGGAACGTGCAGGGCGCGCGTTCTCAGCACATATGTATTTTCAAATGGTACGCAAATATGCGGCCACTCGGTGTCAAGGCCCAGACGCCAAGAGGCCACATATTTGCGTGCGCTCGGCATCTAGGAGGTTAACTAGTAGCCAACCGCAGATAGCCGAATGATGGCTGCACTGCGGCCGGCCAGTTCTGGGTGGACGTCATATGACGTCCTCCCAGAACGCACTCTCCTGCGCGCCCCAGGGGGGGGCGCGCACCCGGCGATCTCTGTGATTGCTGTGTCCTACGGACACAGCTGATCACATGATGTGGTAAAAGGCCAATCACAGCGGCCTTTTACCACGTGATCAGCGGTGTCCAATGACACGCTGATCAGAGGGAAATGCAAGTGCCGGTTCTCGGCTGCACTTTCCTCACACTGTCAGATCGTGAGGAAAGTACTGCCGATAACGGCAGTTGTCAGAGCGGGGATCGGCACCGATCATCAGGGCACTGATGATCAGTGCCCTGATGACTGGTGCCCAGCAGTGCCACCCGCAAGTTCCGCCCACCTGTGCCCAGCAGTGCGCCCACTAGCTCCGCCCACCTGTGCCCAGCAGATCACCCACCTGTGCCCAGCAGTGCACCCACCTTTGCAAAGCAGTGCACCCACCTGTGCCACTCTGCAGTGCCACCTACCTGTGCCCAGAAGTGCCACCTACCTGTGTCCAGCAGTGTCACCTACCTGTGCCCACCCACCTGTGCCCACCAGTGCCACCCACCTGTGCCCACCCACCAGTGCTGCCCACCAGTGCCACCCACCAGTGCAGCACCCAGCAGTGCTGCCAGTCAGTGCCCAGCAGTGAAGCCAGTCAGTGCCGTCTATCAGTACCCATCATCAGTGTCACCTATCAGTGCCGCCTATCAGTGCTGCATATTAGTGCCGCCTATCCGTGACACCTCATTAGTGCTGTCTATCAGTGCCGCCTATCCGTGCCACCTCATTAGTACTGCCTATCAGTGCCCTTTAGTGCTGCCTATCAGTGCCCATCAGTGCCGCTTATCAGTGCCTATCAGTGCTGCCTCATCAACGCACATCAGTGAAGGAGAAAAAATACCTGTTTGAAACATTTTATAATAGAAACAAAGAAACTTTTTTTCTTTCAAATTTTTTGCATTTTTTTTTTTTATAGCGCAAAAAGTAAAGTGCCCAGTGGCGATTAAATACCACCAAAAGAAAGCTCTATTTGTGAGAAAAAAATGATCAAAATTTCATATGGGTTACAATGTTGCATGACCGCGCAATTGTCAATCAAAGTGCGGCAGCGCAGAAAGCTGAAAATTGGCCTGGTAAATAAGGGGGTATAAGTGCCTGGTAGGCAAGTGGTTAAAGAAGGTAGCAAGCAGATATTTACTACAAGCATAGCAGTGTCAATTATCAGTCATACACGGCAAGGGGATTGTACAGATGCATATTTCAGCAGACAGACATTTACCTGTGAAAGACATGATGAGAAAGTGATAAAAGTGATGTTGAAACTGTTACAACACTCGTTAAAGAAACACTCAGGAAAGAAACATTGCGTCCACGCCTGACCCCTGTATTTAACTTTTATTGGATGTCTTCAAGCTGGTCAAGTGATCTGCAGGATCTTCTTCCGCTTCACTTCTTCTCAGGCACTTGGTCAGATACAACACCTCCTGCGCTCAGGGACCCAGATCAGTAGAGGGCAGGGGCGGACTGACCATTTGAGCACTGGGCACTGTCCGAGGGCCCAGGCTTAGTAGGTGGCCCCATGAGATGCCCCTGGTACCTTTCAGATGCTTTTTTGGGTGTGATTTGAGTGTGGCCGAGGACACAGGGGCCCTATGATCTCCTATTGCCCGGGGGGGCCCCATGAGTTGTCAGTCCGTACCTGGTAGAGGGCCGATGGATCAATAGTATAAGGGTGTATGGATGTTTGTCCCAGATCGATCAAAGGCTGTGCAGCTCCAATACAAAGCTGGGGAAGCTTGATACAAACTGTATTGGAGAACAAAAACAGAGCGCACCAACTTGCGCATTACCTTAGTAAAACAGTAGATTTATTGATTTAGGAGATATACTCACAAAAGTAGTAATACAACAGGCATATAAAATCCAAAAGCGTATCCTACGATAAGGAAACCCATGAGAATGCCATCTGAAGGGGAAGTTCTCAGAGTGACGCTGACGCGTTTCGAAGGGGGGGTCCCTTCTTCATCAGTGATGCCTTAGCAGCATTGTTCTGTGAGTGTAGGGTGCCAAGGTGATGCCTCCTAGAGGGTGGGTCTCTGAGACCCTGCTGTACACACAGGAAGTGGGTTGGATGACAGTGAGCATCATTCAACCCAGAAAAATGAGGACATCTAGTGGTGGAAATGAAGTGATGTTGGTGCAAGCACCAGAGAGGAGGTGAGTATTAAAGCCAAAACCACTTTATTATATTATACTTACAGGGTATCATATTTTAAAAAAATGCTTGGAGGTGGTCTTTTAGCTGTTCACTTGGCATGAAATTTGAGTTCTGCTTTAAGTTTTTGTTGGTCCTGGTGGGTCTAGCACACAACTCCTGATGTTTTTTATAATTTTAAAGACATTAAAAAAAGACAAAATATTTCCCTTTTAAAATTGCTTTTGTTAATTTAAGTGCTTCTAAAGGCTGAATGTTTTTTACCTTCAAGCATTCTATGCATGAAGGTAAAAGAAATTCTGTGTGCAGTGCCCTCTCCCCCAGCCCCCCCAATCTTTACCTGAGCTCTCTCCGATCCAGTGATGTTCCCGCAGCCTCTGCAGTCTGGGGACTCTTCCTCCTCATTGACAGCCCAATGGCTCCTGCTGCTGTCAATCACAGCCAGTGAACCAATGAGGAGAGAGTTGGGGGGGGGGGGGCGAGCCACAACTCTATGTGTCTTATGCACACATAGACCAGCAGCTCGGGGACGAGCATGCAGTGGTGCTCCCAGGGTGAGTGGCTTTCCCTGGGGGCACTGCTCAATGGGGAGGTGCCAGGAGCAAGAGCGGGGACCCAAAAAGAAGAGGACCGGGGCTGCTCAGAGCAGGTAAGTATAGACATGTTTGTTATTTTAAAAAAAAAAAAAGGAGTTTTATTGTCACTTTAATTTAAAAAAACAAATAACAAAAATCCTTATCTTGTAACCCCCCCCCCTTTCAAAGTCTCTCACATGTCTAAAGTTTCAAACCCAAAACCTAGAATGTAATATATTGAAGCGTACCAATCAGGGGCGGACTGACAGCTCATGGGGCCCCCGGGCAATAGGGGATCATGGGGCCCCTGTGTCCTTGCCCACACTCACAAAAGCCTATAAAAAAGGTACCAGGGGCATTTCATGGGGCTCCTTACTGACCCCAGGCCCTTGGGCAGTGCCCGAGTGCTCGAAATGGTCAGTCCACCCCTTGTACCAATCATTAGATGTGGTGTCTGCATCAGTTTTCTTTTCGTTGGCTTTCTTCCCTCTGTTTTCACTTGATGATCTGGTCAGTAACACGCCTCCGGTATTAGCGAGACACCGCTCTGGAATAATGAGCCAGGACACAGCAGACAGCAGCATTGTCAGTCTTGGGGGGATGGGAGTCATAAATGTATTAGCAAATTTGAATACATTAACAAACTGAAGCCAAATTCCAGCTCACACTTTATAATCAGTTACAGCAAATCATTTTTTCCCCTTTGGGATAAAAGTTTTAAATAAATAAACAAAAATAAAAGCTGATTATTTTAATCACCCCTGCCAGTGGTAAATGGATTATTTAATCCATGTAAACCAAAACATTCTGCTGGAGAGCTTAAAGTGGTTGTAAGGCTCCATGTACACAGGACACTTCTGAACGATGGAAACTGACTGCTGGAAAACGTAGGTTTAAAAAACGTCTGTTTAGCCGCGTTTGCATACCGCGTTTATGAGCATTTATGAGAGTTTGCGTTTAGAAGTGTTTTTTAAAGATAACCTCAGGAGACTGAAAACACTGAAAAACAGTAAAAAAAATTAACTATTTCAGACATTTTGAGAGAAATAGAGAGAGTAGAAGCAGAGAGAGCAGTATGTGTTCAGATTAGCTGTCTTTTTTTTTTGTGCTGTTTGGATGTGTTCCGGCTCATTTCTGTGCAGAAATTATTGCAGCAGTGTCTAATATATTTTCTTTCCTGCGGAACCCCAAAGTCTGGTGTACTGGGTCCATTTGAGTACCGGGAAAACACTTTGCATGCATTTTTCTTCATGATGAAAAAGGCTCTAGACAGCATCTGGAAATGGAAGAGTTAAAAAAATTTCAAACGCAAATGCCTATAAACGTGGTTAGCCGCATTTACAAGCGTTTACAAGCTTTTTGCATTTGAAACGCTGATAAAATCCACTTCTGTGTTCAAAAAAACAACTGTAAACTCAACTGCCTGTAAACGACGATGTGTACATGGACACATAGGAAAACATGAGGGAGAGTTCAGGGGCTGCTGAAAAAAAATGCTGAACAGCTCCTGAACGTCAGTTTTAGAGATGAGCGAATTATTCAAAAATTCGATTCGACTGATTCGGCGAATTCGTGGAAAAAATTTGATTTGAGTCGAATATATTCGCTGCGAATTTAACTTATAAAAGGGTGTTTTCTAGGCTTCAGAGAGCCTTTATATTAGTGCAGAACACTGTACCTTTAATTTAAATGCCCTTGGAGTCTGCTGGGGAAGAGAAATAATACTGTCAGTCAGTATGACATGCAGATGAGTGCCGTCGATCTTAGAATCACCGCACACTTCACTCATTTGGGCAGTCACGGGCCAAAACCAGAGTGTGGAGCCACAGTGTGGCAGTGGAGGCAGCAGCAATGGGAGGCCATACAGCACCCTATGACAAAATGGAACCCACCAGCAGTGTGAGGAGACCTGAAAGTGGCACATGGCAGAGTGTGGCGATGGAGACAGCAGCAATGGGAGGCCGTACAGGGACCCATGACACACTCTGGACCTGGCAGCAGCATGAGGAGGCGGTACGGGGGGCCCATGGCAGATTACGGGCCTGGCAGCAGCATGAGGAGTCGGTACGGGGGCCCATGGCAGATTACGGGCCTGGCAGCAGCAATGGGAGGCCGTACAGGGGACCCATGACACACTCTGGACCTGGCAGCAGCATGCATGAGGAGCGGTACAGGGGCCCATGACAGATTACGGGCCTGGCAGCAGCATGAGGAGTCGGTACGGGGGCACATGACGCACTCTGGACCTGGCAGCAGCATGAGGAGGCGGTACAGGGGCCCATGACAGATTACGGGCCTGGCAGCAGCATGAGGAGTTGGTACGGGGGCCCATGACACACTCTGGACCTGGCAGCAGCAATGAGGAGGCCCAATACAGGGGCCCATGACAGATTATGGGCCTGGCAGCAGCATGAGGAGTCGGTACCGGGGCCCATGACACACTCTGGACCTGGCAGCAGCATGAGGAGGCGGTACAGGGGCCCATGACAGAATTACGGGCCTGGCAGCAGCATGAGGAGTCGGTACGGGGGCCCATGGCATATTACGTGGGCCTGGCAGCAGCAATGGGAGGCCGTACAGGGTACCCCATGACACACTCTGGACCTGGCAGCAGCATGAGGAGGCGGTACAGGGGGCCCATGGCAGATTACGGGCCTGGCAGCAGCAATGAGGAGGCCGTACAGGAGCCCATGACACAGATCTACGGGCCTGGCAGCAGCCGTGAGGAGGCGGTACGGGGGCCCATGACAGATTACGGGCCTGGCAGCAGCATGAGGAGTCGGTACGGGGGCCCATGACACACTCTGGACCTGGCAGCAGCATGAGGAGGCGGTACAGGGGCCCATGACAGATTACGGGCCTGGCAGCAGCATGAGGAGTCGAACGGGGGCCCATGGCAGATTACGGGCCTGGCAGCAGCAATGGGAGGCCGTACAGGGACCCATGACACACTCTGGACCTGGCAGCAGCATGAGGAGGTGGTACAGGGGCCCATGACAGATTACGGGGCCTGGCAGCAGCATGAGGAGTCGGTACGGGGGCCCATGGCAGATTACGGGCCTGGCAGCAGCAATGGGAGGCCGTACAGGGACCCATGACACACTCTGGTAACCTGGCAGCAGCATGAGGAGGCGGTACGGGGGCCCATGGCAGATTACGGGCCTGGCAGCAGCAATGGGAGGCCCGTAATCTGCCAGCACCCTATGACAAAAAATGTGGAACCCTGGGCTGGGGCAGCAGAACCGCCGTATCTTTATCACGGTTTTCCCAGGGCCACCGAATGGCGACGCTGCATATGCGTGACGCAACGCTGTAGTCCCAAACATGGGCCCCTGGCCACGCTTGACTTTCTGGCCACATAGTTGACATAAAGGCTTTGTTTACTTCCTTCCTCGTGGGGTGGCGGCTTGAGGAAAAAATTGCCACACCGCCGAGTAGGAAACTTTGCCCCTCGCTACTCCTCACTGGCTGACTGCTACTTCTCCGTGCACACCGGCACCACTACTGGCCGTGGTGGTAGCTGCAGTGGAGCTGGTGCTCTACTCCGTGGCCGTTTGCCCTCCACTGACACTGCTGCGACCCTGCTGCCTCCTGGCAGCAGCAATGGGAGGCCGTACAGGGACCCATGACACACTGTGGACCTGGCAGCAGCAAATGAGGTGGGGGAGGGGTGCAGATGCGGTACAGGGGCCCATGGCAGATTAGTGGGCCTGGCAGCAGCAATGGGAGGCCCGTTTAATCTGCCAGCATCCTATGACAAAAAATGGAACCCAGAAGGCAGTGTGAGGAGACCTGAAAGTGGCACATGGCAGAGTGAGGCGATGGAGGAGACAGCAGGCACTCATGGGAGGCGTTAACAGGGACCCATGCAGACACTGTGGACCTGGCAGCAGCATGAGGAGGCGGTACAGGGGCCACATGGCAGATTAGGGGCCTGGCCAGCAGCAAATGGAAGAGGCCCGTATCTGCCTGCACCCTAGTGACAAAATGGTAACACAGCAGCAGTGTGAGGGAGACCTGAAACAGTGGCACTATGGCAGAGTGTGGCGATGGAGACAGCTGCTCAAGGAGGCGGTGCAGGAGGACCCATGATAACACGGTGCGACCTTGGCAGCAGCATAAGAAGGCGGTACAGGGGCCAATGGGCAGATTAGGGGCCTGGGAGCAGCATGGGAGCCCCCAATCACCAGCATCCCATGACAAAATGGAACCCAGAGCAGT